CTTTCGTAACTTGTATTTCAGTACTAGTGCTCCCACCAGTCAGTTCAATAGGTTGAGAACTATCAATTTCTTCTTGTGTTGCAAGTGGCAATTGTTCGTCATTTAATACAAGATTGAGAATGCTCAACATTTGACATTGTAAATATTTAAACAAAAAATATAATATCAAATGATATGTAGGCAAAAAAAATTTTGCAGGATAATAAAACATAAGTATATGTCTTCCAAATGAACCCTGTAAGAATTTCATACACTATCATTTGACTTCTAATGAGATCCCAAATAAAAACTGCAATTAAAATGCTAAATGAAATCTCTATCATCAATTTTTAGAAAAACTATCATAGATTTACATGCTTAACATGAAAAAGTAGTACCATAGATCCATATGAATTATGCATAATATGGAAAGAGAAGTACCATGAATTGATTTATCTCTATATCAGCCAATAAAAGTTTTGGAGAATAGAAAGAATAAACTTTTATATGAACTGCATCATAAAACATTGCAATTATTGCCACCAACTTGTAAATAAAAAATCTCATTTGAAACCACAAATCATAAAGCATTGCAATCATTGCATGCAAATCTTTTTTATAAACCAATGCCTTTTTCATAATTCAACGAAAGTCACCATTTGAAACCTACCAGCTCATATAAAAAAATGTCATTTGAAGTCAAGATAGAAGAAAGTGTTTCAGCAACAAAAAACTTTACAACCATAAATACCATCCCTACTCATACGCCACATCGACCATTCCAATGCAAATACTCTCAAACCAATTAACTCAACTCAAACAGATCCCATGGTCACATTTAAGACAGAAAAGGGATAAAGAAATCTTGTAAATCTATTAAATAGCAACTAAGAAATCCAGGGACTCACTAACTCATTATTCTATGTTTTAGTTCTTATTAAACAATAAACCTTAAGACTAAAAAAACTCTGAATTACTTCCATTCAGGCATTAATATTCCTCCAAATGCTTCTAAAAAAGATTTGAAAGCAGGAAATACAAAAGCATTGCGTTGATATTTGTACGCATAAAAGAAAATACAACAACATAATATGCAATAAAATCATTTTGATTGTCTAGCTTGAAACACAGTACATATTGGTGAGTGAAAACAACCTTATTCTGATTCTACCTCTTCCAGTATAAAGAATATGAAATCTTTTCGTTTTCACAGAGTCAATACGCTGAAGTCTGTGGAAGATATTTTGGAAGCTGCGGCTTAGGATATATCTTGAAATATTAAGAATATTTATGCCAAAAAAATATGACAAGGAGCAAAACGAAATAATATTTTCAAATTTCACATTCTGCCAATATCCCAACAATTGAGATCCAATCCACACCTCTTTATAAAGCATGGTTGTAACATCCAATTCCACCAACACTCTAGCAACTAACAGCTTAGTGAAACTAGTTGCTGCAATATCAACCGTTATCGGCTTTCTAAAAAGGGAAGCTAAATAGAATAAAATAGATTAGTTGAAATAGAAATATGAAAGCAGGAAACAAGATGGGTTGCTTCACAAATCCACTCATCAAATATTTGTACGCATAAAAGAGCATTGCATATTAAACTAGGAGATACAAGAGCATTGTTCATATATACCAACCTAAAATTTTTTTTAACTTGCATATATATCAGTTTATTGAAATCTGGGAGATACAATTAAACTAGGAACAAGAATCGGTTCCTACAAAAACATCATAGACAAATAGCAAGTGCCTACAAAACATTCTTTATGTTCATACCTCAAAATAATAGCAGCCTTCCATGTCAAAATAATAGCAGCCTCCCATGTCAAAACATTCTTATGCATTTACCTCAAAATAATGTGAATAATTAATGAAACATATGAGTATCACTTTGTCAAACAAATCAACATTAGAAGTTAAAATCTAAAATTTCATAAAATGTACCAAGTCAAATTCTAGATAGATGAATATTTTTGACCAAAAGTCTTGGTGACAATGGGATGATGACTTAAAAAGAAGTCATAAGGTCCATCAGACAAAGTCTGCTGAACATGATAAATTGTGATTATTATCAGAATAACACATCTTTTCCTGAAGCCTATGACAGACACTTAGCTGCACTTACTAATCTATAAAGTTATCATAATACCAGCACCAGACATTTCAAATAAATTATCAATAAATTGACAGTAAGCCTATATTTCAAAGTGAAAATTAATTTGGTAGACAACACTTCAACTTATATAACAAGCAACGGTGAACATTGTCAATGCTTGAATAAAAGTTCCTCATTCAAGATACAATCCTTTCTAATAATCTAAAGTTGCTTCTGCAAGTATCATGCCACCAAGCCTTGCTTTATGAAAAGAAGCATACATATATGAAAGAAGCAGAAACAAAGATCTACAGTATAGATAGTGAAACTTAGAACGATTTAGTCCCCCCAATGAATCTACAAAATAGATGGATCTACAATATATGAAAGAAGCAGAAACAATGTTTTAAATGTTTAGGAGTTAAGAAGAAATAAACCTAAAAAATACTCAGAGATGAAGCCTAGGTTTCACTCAAAAAACTTAGGTTTCACCCCCAAAGAAGACAAACAGATAGATTTAACCTAGGTTTCACTCAAATAAATAAACGTATAGTCAATATGAAAACAAACAGATTTACATTTAACCGACGTTTCACTCAAAAAAGAAGAAATAAACCTAAAAAAAATTATGAAAATTTAACCTAAGAGGCAAGCATGAAGATAAACTTGAAATGTTAAAGAAAATATACTCAAAAAAGACGTCTCGGTGGCCTTACAAGCAACCAAGCAAGAATATCGAGCACTGAAGCAAGAATACCGAGTAGTTGATCCAACGCCTACTTTATGGAAGACAAATAGAAGTAGAGATCAGAGAAAAAACACAAACATTCAACCCTAAGCTCTCAATGACGAAGCTTTTTGCAGTTTTGAGGCGAGGAAAGAGCCGGCCAAAAGTTTTTCGAGAGGGGAGCGCCGAAAGGATGACGAATCGCGAACACGCCGAACAGTAGGGTTAGGGATTGCGGTTTTTAACTTATATTAATATATATAAATAATATTTTATATTAATTATAAAAATTATATTATATAACTATATAATTTTTTTTATTATTTACTAATACAGTTTATTAATATATTATTATTATTATTTTATTATATATTATAATATATAGAATTTAGTTTTTTAAAATTTGATAAATTTTTAATATATATAATATAATTATTTTTAAATTTCATAATATTATTTAAATTATTTATATTTCGAATAAAAAAAATTTATTCGTGTTCGTCTCGTTTGCTTATCGAACGAATCGATCATGAACTACTTACAGAGCCGAACACGAATTGTTTGCGAACGACGAGCTTTTTGTACAGCCCTACATCCAACTAGTGAGAATTAATATTTAATTTTTTGTCTATTTAACAATTCAAAAAATATAAAAATTTTGAAAATTTTCGAACGTTTCGAAAAATTCGAACAATTCAAACATATTCGAACGATTCGAACTAATTTCGAACAAATCGAACCGAACACGAACAGACCTTTCACGAACAATTTCGAACACGAGTTTATTTCAATCAAACTATATTTCAAACAAACCGAACACGAACAGGTGCACTGTTCGTTCGTGTTCGGTTCGTTTACACCCCTAGCCCCACACGGACCCTAAGTTTGATTCAGCTGCAGTATTGTTGCTGATTAAAATGTTTGGTTTGGCCAAATTTGAGAAGTCTGCCGTGCATCTTTGTTTCTGTGATGAATGAAATGCTGGTAGTTGTTACAGAGTCTTCAAGGAACAGTTCATTCTATTTTTATTTTTGATTTTTCTTTCTCAGGTTTGGTTTTTATGATGATTTTTGCTACATGGATTTTCCTAGGTAGCAATAAAATCTTAACTTTATACTGCTTTTTTTTGTCCTGTGCTAAGGCTTCACAGAATTGAACTTACTAATTTGATTGTACTTCCTCCAGTTTTGTGGGTACCAGCCTCCTGTTCTAATGCCAGATTGTGTTTTACCTTTTTTACAGCAATGTATGGTAATATGGGAGACCAAACTGGGGTTCCCAGGCCCCCACAAAATCCTCAGCCCACTCCTTTTGGGAATACATTCTATGGAGCAGGATCTGGTCTCTTCCGAAGCGGTCTAGAAGCATATGGAGAGAAATTTTTGGGCTCAAGCTCTGAGTTCATGCAAAGTAATGTATGCAGATATTTGCTTTGAAATAACGATTTTATACTCTTTTTTGTCAGCCTCTCTCCCTCCTCTCTCTTTCTTTGAGCTTGCTTCCGATGAGGTTAGAAAATGCGATGTCAAATTTATGCTTCATTGTTTTAAATTTGGTATGTTGTGAAACAGATTAGCAGCTACTTCTCCAATCCACAATACTATTTTCAAGTGAATGATCAGTATGTGAGAAACAAGTTAAAAGTAGTTTTGTTTCCCTTTCTACACAGGGTAAAGTTTCTGCATTCTTTGGGTCTCATTCAAAATATAAAGCTGTCTTTCCCAACCAACTGTTATTCATTTCCAGGGACATTGGACAAGAATAACTGAACCCGTTGGTGGCAGGTTGTCATACAAACCTCCTGTATATGACATCAACGCTCCCGACTTATATATTCCTTTGATGGCCTTCGGTACCTACATAATTCTTGCAGGCTTTTCTTTTGGTCTTATGGGGCGGTATGTTTCTTTGTTCCTTATTTGACTTATGTCAATCGATATAGATTCATAATCAAAACATCAAGGTTTAATTTCATCGTCTTCAATCCAAACGAAACGTTTCGTTATGATAAAAGAGATATCACACATCTTGTGCAGGTTTAGCCCTGAAGCTTTGAGCTTGCAGTTTACAAGAGGTTTGGTCGGCTGGGTTCTACAAGTAATGCTTCTAAAGGGTTTATTGTATTCTTTAGGAAGCGGCGAGGCTCCTCTTCTCGACATTGTTGCCTATGGTGGGTATGCTTTTACTGGCATCTGCATCTGCGTGCTTGCGAGGCTTTGTTGGAGGTACTCATATTACTTTGCAATGCCTTTGATGAGTTTGTGTATGGGGGTTTTCTTGGTCAAAACCATGAAGAGGGTGCTTTTCAGTGAGATGCGGAGCTATGAAAAGCGCTCAAGCAGGCAACACTATTTCCTGCTTTTCATGGCCATTGCACAGTTTCCTTTGTTCTTCTGGTTGGGCAATCTTGGGGGTTGATCAGCTTTTCTCTGCCTTCTTTTTTCCTTTTAAGCTGCTTTTTCTAATTTATATGTTTATATGTACAATTCAATGGCTGTGTTTTTAAATACTAGAAATTAGAAGCAGAAAAAAAAGGATTTTGGATTCTTCTATTCAGTATAGCTGAGGTCTGTATGTATCAAGTTGTTCTTAAAATTCATAGAATGTTCTTGAAAACAGAGGCTTAATAATTCTTGATATATATTTGAGAAGAAAATGCCTTTTATTATATTCAGCACGTCGATATATTCATAACATATGGCGAATTCAACGCACGCACACACACAGCCAAAGTTCACTCTTTTCGTTTCTCATTGAGCTAACAAGGAACCAAGTTAATTTTCTAACACTGTACTGTAACTGATCAATGGCTTGACATAGGAGTAGCCAAAACTAGAGGCATTATCAAGTAATATTTGATGCTGTCGAAGGTGTTTTGACATTATCAAATGACAGACATCTATTAGAAATATTTGATATAAATTGTCTTAGATATGACAATTTCCCGTTGTAGGAGGTCATTCTTACTTCTGCGGTGCCTTACTATAGCTCAGAAATTTTGTTCAGGTCATTTTAGAAATACACTTTAGAGTGTTCATTTTCAAATCATGGCAGTGCCACAGCTTGAAAATAAAATGGTTCTCTTTTTTCCTGATAACCAGATTATCAATATACTAATCCACTTGATTATGAATAAGTCTATGAATCATTGTTCACCGATAGATTACACTAATATTCTTTAGGCCGAAATACATAACTCCGAATCAAAATATTTCAATTTAGGTTCAAAAATTTGAGAATTTTTTATGTATAGGTGACATCTTGATTTGTTTATAATTAGATGAGCCATCAACTGAGAAGAAAATTGCATTTGAAGAGGCCACAACTTTGGGGTAGATAATGGAAACTCATTAGGACATGCTTTATTTAGATTCCCTAGTTATTGCTCATGCAAATTTAACCTTTTTTTACCAATTGATCAATTTTTTTTTTTTATCTCAGTTATTATTTGTTATTCAATTCTAAGCACATGTGCTAATGTGCTTATCTCACTGGAATGACATCATGTTGAATTTTGAGTTTACGGGCCACTATTTCTAAAGATAATCTGGACATTTCATCGTAACTCCAAGTAAAACAATCCTTAAACTTTGAAAAAAAAAGCATATCGCATCAATCTTAATAAAAAACTTTTAAAATTAAGATAAAAGATTTTGTCTGTGTCGAGATTGATTTCATTTAGTTTGTCAATTTTTATTTAATTTATTCTTAATGTTTGATGGGGGCATCCCTAATTGAATGTCATCCAAATTGCCTAATGTTTTTAAACAAATCTCATTAAATAATTTAATGCATTTTGAAAGAACTTATGTGACTTCACATTATTAGTAATATTTAGGCAATATTTGTTATTATCCACTAGCTCAACAATATCAAACTAAAAAACATTTATTATATATTTTTTGCCATATATATATTTTTTTGGTATTATGCTTTTGTGTTTGGAATAAGCATATGATGCCAAATCTTGTTTAATTAATTTTTTAATATAAGTACAAATCAAATATGAATTTAATATTTCATTGAAATAGCCATCATTGAGTTTTACATAATCTCTTGAACCTAAGGATAAAGTACCAAGAAAAAAACTTTTCGTTTTATATTTATCATTTTGTTTTGAAGATTAAGCAAGTAACGCTTGATATTCCAAAGGAAATAGGCATCCTTCTTGACTAAAGCAAAGAAATGATGACAATGCCAGGAGAGATTTCAAATAAACCTCATGAACGCGAGCTTTCATTGTAGGGAGCTTAAATAGTGGGATTAGAGCTAAAATACCCACATACTAAGTTATCCTGGCAAAGATTGATAATTAAGACCCATCCTTATCATTCTCAAAAACCTTATACCCTCATAGTTATCTAACTTAAGAAATATAGTGAAGTTTGGCTTTACTATTGTTGATTTGATAGAACCACCCACTACATATGATTTATTCTTTGATCTGAGTTCAAAATCAGTATGTTTGATAATTGTTTGCCTAATTGCTTGAGAAGATTTATCTTTTATTTTTGTTATTTCAAGCTAACTTCTTACTTTTCCACAAGCTTGTTGGGTCATTTTACTACCTCGTTATATAAGAGTATTGAACTTTAATATTGGGGACAAAATTATATTAATGTTTTCTTGTTCTTTTAGTTTCTTTCTTTTTTTTATTGTTGTTCTTTTCCTTCCTTTTAATCTCTTATTTTTATTTTTTCCTTTACTCGATCTTCTTTATTAGCATAGAAATTTCTGGAGAAACTCACTCACTTCTTAAGAAAGTAGTATGTTGCATTTTCAAGCTCATTGGAATTAATTAAGTTATTGTGAAATCATTTTTATTATTATCATCAACATTATGATCATCATATTTTTTTTATAGAATTCATCCGAGATATTTTCATCAAATACATTCAAGATATACATAAAATCCCTTTTCATTACAAATTTCAATCCCATAGGAATAAGATAGAAATCATGCAATTGACCCCGCCATCTACAAAAAGAACTTTTAACAATTTTCTTCTTGAATATCAATATACTCATGTTTGCTTGGTCTTTATTTTTCTTTTTAATATTCTTAAGATGTCCTTAAAAATGGGCTTAGATCAATCTGAGTAGTAGACATTTGAGCTTCTTTGGACATTTATAAAAGAATTTGATTCCTTTTATTAGAGTTTATTGAGAGATTTTGGACAAAAATGTCTTGATTTTTTTGGACTTGGAAGAATGAAACAAAATATAACTCACTTGAGATCACTTTAAGAAATCCTTGGCCATAATCTGCAAATAACTCCTTAGGGATTATGATTTCTTTAAACTTGTAATTTCTCTTTAGCTATTTTTTAAAAGCAAAGTTATTATTTGTCATATCTTGAAGTTTGCACTGATAAGAACAATAGATAGACTCATTGCTCTTCCCCGCTTGCTGCTTCTTAGGCTTTTATAACTTGAAACCTATATTCTTCATTGGGTTCTTAAAGATCTCTTAGTTATATATTCTGTGAAAGAATAAGTCTTATTTATTCTTTCATTTAAAGTGGTTGAGAATTCATTCCTCATCATTAGCTTAGATTGTTGCTACAGTGATTGCAACCAATGCTTTTTTTACTTGTATTCTCATTTGTTATTTTCTCAGGTCAATGAAAGACATCATCTCAATCTTTTTCTAAGAACTTTTGGAGTTTTTCCTGCTTATCTTCTGTTAGTTGCTCTTCAAAAAATGATAACTAGAAAGCTTCTTCTTGTAGGGTAGGGGCTTTTGCTTAAGAGCTTCTTAAAAGTTTTGATGATGAACTCCTTTAGAAGAATGACATTGGCCTATGGATGTTCTTTAATAAAATCTCTATTGCTTGCTTCTTTTATAATTGACGTTTGTATTTCATACTCAAATTCCTATGCCTACAAATATTGTCTACTTATATAAAGCCCTTGTGGCTCGTTCTCAATGCAACTCTTATGTTCAATGACTTTATTGAGTTGTTGATTTAGTGGGTCAGTGCTTTGACTAGTAAATCTTGGTTAGTATGAAATTCTTGTGACCTCTTTTCTAGTGTTGTTCATTGCAACTCCAAAATTAAAATCAAATCAAACTATCTTACTTCTTGGGTTTGTTGACTTTTTTTAGCCATATTTGATTTAATAAGGCATTGCCTTGGCTAGTTAATCTAGGTTTGGATTAAGTCCTTATGGCCCGTTTTCTTAGTGTTGTCCATTGCAAACCTAGGATTAGTATTGTTAGGCTTATTTTAACCTCATTTAATCATCTATAGATTTAGCCCATGTTCATTGAAGTTAGATTAAGCCCTCATAGGCCCTTCTAAATGAATCAGCCATAGCTAATTCAATGAGTCAACAGTTTGGCTAATAAATCTAGATTAAGATTAAGCCCTTATGAACTATTTCTTAGTGTAGTAACTAAAAATTTCTTCCTTTATTGGTTCAATGACTTTGCTAAGCCATAGTTGATTGACTAGGTCAGCACCTTGATTAGTAAATCTTGGTTAGGATCAAGTCTTTATGACCTTTTTTTCCTAGTGTAATCCATTACAAACCTTAGACTTATGATTGCTAGACCTAGTTTGGCCTTAGCCAAACATCTATAGGTTTAGCTTGTGTTTATTGGAGTTGGATTAAGCCTTATGTCCCCTTCTCATTAAATTTGTCAAGCCATAGTTTGTTCAGTGAGCTGGCATTTTGTCTAGTAAATCTGAGTTAGGATCAAGTCATTGTGGCCCGTTTGTTAGTGTACTCCATTACAAACCCAAAATTAAATTAAAATAAAAATTATCTTCCTTCATGTTTTTGTTGACTTTGTTGAGCCATTTAGGAGATCAATAACTTGGCTAGTTAATTGAGGTTTAGATCAAGTATTTATGACCCATTTCCTAGTGTAGTCCAAAATTTCTAGACCTACTTTGGCATCATCCTTACATTTATAAGTTCAACTTGAGTTCATTGGAGTTGTAGTAAGCCCTTGTGGCCCATTCTTAATGCAACCTTCAGCTTTGTTTGTTTAACTATGCCATTATTTATTTTGTGAGTTAGCACTTTGGCTAGTAAAGTTTGGTTAAGAATAAGTTCTTGTGGCTCCTTTCCTAGTCTAGTCCAACACAAATCTAAATTAAAATCAATTTGAAAATTACTTCCTTCTTGGGTTGTTGTTTCCTTAAGCCATAACCACTTTAGCGAGTCAACTCTTTGACTAGTAAATCTTGGTTGCGATCAAGCCTTCCTTACCCCTTTCCTAGTGTAATCCATAACAAACATTTAGGAGAAGAGCTTTAGTCTTTAAAACAACCTTAGGCATATGACCCTTTTCTTAGATTAGATTAGTACTTAACATAGGAATAAATCTCTCACTGGCCTCCTTTTCTAGTATATTCAACTTAGTAGAGTTAGGTCAGAGTTAGGTTAAGATTAAGTCCCATACCGACCTTCTTTCGTAGTACACCAAGGTCTGGAGTAAGTCCCTCAGCTACATCCTTTCTTAGTTGCACTTAGTTCGGACTGAGTCCCTTAGTGATCACCTTTTCTTGTATAGTCACCTTAGTACCAATTAAGTTTGGACTAGGTCCCCCCAATGGCCTCCTTCCCTACTAGATCATTAGGATTGCACTAAGTACCCTTATGACATTCTTCACTAGT